ACCCAATTTTTGTTCTTTAAAAAAAACACAAACAAACATGCAGACAGAAACTGCCTCCCCCCTTTTTCTTTCTTTCTTTCTTTTTTCTGCATCTCTTACTTTTTCAAGGCAGACATTCTTGGGTTAAAAATGTAACAAACTAAACATGTTTAAAAGGATTTCCATTACCGGGGATCAGGAGATACAGGTAGTCCTCGATTTACAACCACAATTGAGTCTAAAATTTCTGTTGTTAAGTGAGACATTTGTTACGTGGGTTTTGCTCCATTTTACAACCTTTCTTGCCACCATTGTTAAGTGAATCACTGCAGTTGATAACTTAGTAACCATGTTGTTAAGTGAATCTGGCTTCCCCATTGACTGCTTGTCAGAAGGTCACAAAAGGTGATCACATGACCTTGGGAGACAGCAACGGTCATAAATATGAACCAGTTGCCAAGCATCTGAATTTTGATCACATGATGGGGATGCTGCAAAGGTCATAACTGAAAAACTGTCAAGTCATTTTTTTCAGTGCCATTGTAACTTTGAAATGTCACTAAACAAACTGTTGTAAGTCGAGGACTACCTGTATGCAGCACAATATAAAAAGAAGGGTTCCTTGTGCATGGGATCCTCTTTTTATATTAACCTGATGCTATGCACATTGGTTTGGTCTGATATGCATTTCTCCTAAGGCTACTGCTAACATTTCTACTTTTTTCTTCTCCTTCTGATCTGATTTACGTTCTTCCTCTCTGTCACGATTACAGAAAACCTTTTGAGCAATTTCCATAATCTCTGCAATATTTTTCCCTAAGGCCCCCTCTGTGCGTTATAACTTTTTCTTTATGTCTGGGGCACTTTGGGTAATAAATCTTTCAATTAGGAGTGGGCGGTTTTGTGCCAACTCCATATCAAGTCCAGTATTATTTTATAAGCTTCTATCAGTCAGCTGAGAAAAGCAGTTGGTGTTTCATTTTTTTCTTGCCAAATACTAGTTACTGCAGCATAATTAACTGGACGGATTGCGGCTTCTCTCAGAGCTTCTAAGCATAAGAGCCGATAATTTTGCAACAATATATGATGTTGTGAATTATTTGCCTCCCAACCTGGCCTCTTTTCACAGGCTGAATTTTCTCTGTCTGCTTGGTAAGTAGCTCCTCCCTCTGGGTGTCTTCTGGCCAGTACTTTTAATTTAGCTAACTTATATTTCTCCCTTTCGTCAATATCTAGTAAGGTAGAAATAAGTTGCTGCATATCATCCCATGTGGGATTATGCGTCTGAATAATAGTAGAAAATAGATCTATTATTTCTTGAGGCTTTTCTGAAAATGGCCCGTATTGCTGACGCCGATTTAGTAGATCAGTAGTTGTAAAGGGAACATATTGGAGCATTGAGACATTGGAGTTGTCTGGTCCAGGAACCAAAACTTCTCTTAAAGGGGCTATGGTTTCTTCTATCTTTGGTTTTGTGTGTTTTTTTCTTGTGCGGCTAGAGACTGGTGTTTCCCTTTCATCTTCATCCAAGTCCTGTGTTTGCTTTTGAGCACCCTGTTCTTTTTTTATCTCCTCCTCCTCCACTCCGGCTTCTGGTTTAAGGTGGACTTCATCCCTTTCAGCCAGAGGAGCCTCTAAGGGGGGGGGGGTGTTGCTGATGAATTCCCCCTTCTTCTCTTCTAGGAACATAGGGAGGGGGTCTGGCAAGTTCCTCCCTTTCTTCCTGGCTCAGAATCTTAGGTTTTGTCTGAGGTTTGGCTTTTTGGGTTGCCAAATATATCTTAGCACATTCTATTTGACACTTTGCTAACCATCTAGGCTTTTCTGCAATATTAATCTGCCATTGGTCTATGTAGGGATATTGGTCCCAATGACCCCTTCCAGTCACAATTTGATGAACCTGTGCCACAAGTTCGGGATGCGCCGATCCCTCTTTGGGCCACCCTACGCCAAAGGTGGTCCATTCAGATTCACAGAATCTTTTTAATATGGCTGGATTTGGTCTTGGATTTCCATAATCCCTAGAAAACCCCTTTTTAAAGTTTGCCAACATACACTGGAGTGGCGTCTGACCAACGCCCTCCTTAGTCTGTTTTCCTCCCATTCTACCTTAAAACATTACCATCGACCTGGAGCCCCGGAAGTTCCAACGGCCACTCAGCAGGAAATGCGATGGTTAACCACCCACCCAATCCTACCTATTGAAGACTTAAGGACGACGCCTCGTCTTCCAGGGGTTGATCAATCCCCTCTTCTGATCCAAATGGGATCAGGTACCCCTTTTTATAATACTTGCCTGCAGGCGTTCCAGACCCTCCTGTGGATTAAAAGACCTGTCTGCTCCCCTCAGTGGATCCTTGACTGGAATGCTTTGCTGGCGGTGAGCTCCCTCTCTTTCCGTCGAGGTCCCCCCGTAGTCAAAGGCCACGGAGCCGGCTTGGAGATATCGCCGTTAGGAGAGGGTTTTCCCCCAGGGCAGTCCATCTGACAGGTCAATGGCCTCTTCATAAGAGTCCCATCTCGGGTGCCAAATTTCTTGTAGAAAACGAAAGAACTCTTACGAATTCCAGAGGGGTTTAGCAGAGAGGTTTATTTGCGCAGGTTCAGAAGCATAATGGAGATAGGCAATTCTGAACAAGGAGGGTGGGATTAGACTTCAGTTTTTATACTATCCTTCTTTTAGGAACAAAGGGACACATGGTAATACACTGTAATACATTTGGATCGTTTCTCACGGGCATACAATGGAAGGTTTTGCTACATACAAAGTATCCATGTGCAATGCGCATTTGGTTAGCCACATATTACTGACACAGAACTTTCCCAGTGAATTTTCCCAGTGATTATGCATTACATCATTATTCTAGTTATGCAGACAAATCATTATTCTAATAATTGTTCATTTTACTACATTAATGCTACAGGAAAAAATGGTGATAATACAGATTTCTGATGATGAGATCAAAATGTTGTTGCATCAAGTATTAAAAGACAAAAAGTCCAGCTAAAATTTATATAAATCTCTTTTATTGCTTTAAGGTAATAAAAGGAGTCAGGGTATTTCATTGCCCTATTTATACTAATTATGAAGACAATGTAACTCTTGAAAGTGTGGTAAAATATTCACTTACCACAATTCCACAGAAAGGAATGCAGGAGTGTTTTTCTGTGCAGCATTAATCCTTTATAGAAGAGAATATACTGGTAATCCCCTAGATACAAGCGCTTATTTAGTGAGATTTCACAAAAACGAGGTTATTCAGAAAGGGTACTTACATTAGAAATTCAAAATTGTGATCAAAAATAGGCCTCTGTACCATGTGACTTGGATTCAGTCTCGGCTGCTGCAGTGGCCATTTTAACTCTGACTTGCCTAGGCCTGTTTGGGCCTACGAGAAGCCAGAAGTGGTTTTTTTTGTTGTTTTTGTTTGTGCCTGGTCACATGGCCAAACAAGACCCGGTGATTTTTGCAGCCGGCACAGACCATTTGTTTTTGTTTTCCTGGAGTTGCGTGGAAGATCTGCTGCTTGCTGGGCTTGAGGACTACAGTACTGTACTGTAGAGTTAGAATTACTTCTGTAAGTATTTTAAAATATTCTTTTTTGTTATTCTATAGTACTGTATGGTACTAGCACAGACCCACCAGAAATTCTGCTGACACCTTACTGGAAGAAAATCCCCCCACCCCATTTTGGATTTTGCCTGCAGAGGTTTGTGCTGATCAGGGACAATGTTTTTTTAAAAGGTTTTAAATTTAAATTGCCTCCAGAAGTTGTGGGTGTTCCCTCACTGGAGGCTTTTAGGAAGAGACTGGGTAGGCATTTATTAGAAATACAGTATAGTACTGTACTCTCTTGTGAGAACAGTGGGTTAGACTAGATGACCTCAAGGTCCCTTCCATCTCAGTTACTGTTGCAAGCTGACAGTTCTATAAACTCCACCCCCATCTCCCTCTGCATGCCTGCCTGGAGACGTTTAAAGCTAAAGCTACTTACTTTAGTGGCAGCTGCAATTTGAAGAGTTCTCCACCCCCCCCCCCCAAGAAGCTTGAGCTGCCTAGCAACAATTTTTTTTTTTTAAAGCCTGCTCTGTCTGCTTAGGAGGCAATTTACAATACTGTAGTTCCTGAAACCTGAAACAGCTGATTTGTGGCCCGAAACAGCCTGCAGCAGGGCAGGAAAAGTCTCTCGGTTCAGGCAGCCATTGGAGGAAATAATAAGTCAAATCTTCGTTCATTTAACGACCCATTTTATTCAATTAATGAGTTTGATTTTAAAATGTTGTAATATTTAGTCTGATTCATTTGACAATTATGAGCCTAATGGACAGGCTCTATTAGGCTTGTACCTCCTTCCCCAGATCCCATCTTCCCTGTACTCTCATCAGACTTATATAGACAAGCAAGAGATTTGGGCTTTGCTGTACTGTAATAATGGGAGGTTACTTACTTGAGTGTCTCCTTCTCCAGAACCAGCCATAAGAACCCAGATATTTTTTCTTGAGTTTGTGGTACATAGATTCTTCTTTAATTCTGGTGACTCTTTAAGATAGCTGCATTCTTTCATCGTTCACTTGGAATTATAGAAATTATAGAATTATAGAAACTAGAATTATAGGAACTATAAAAGGAAGTTTATGCCTGCTATTATGCCTGCTATCAACTACTCTTAATAAAAATTCCTGTTGGAAGAAACCGTCTCCAAGAGTTCTGCTTTCTTAAGATGTGAGGTTGAAGTGGGTCCTTACAATATCTAATGCTTACAATTTGTTTATTCTGGTGCAAAATTTGGAGCCGAAACCCATGTACGGTGAGAAAAAATGGTTTCTGCTACTGGAAGCTTCTTGTGTTTAAACCATGATTGTACCGTATATTCATGCCAATTGCACTCTATTAATTTGTGTTTATCATGTAATAACTAAATGTTGCCAAAAATCAGGATGCATCATTTATTTCTTAGTTAACTATAAAAAGTATGTTTGCTATACTTGTTTCTAAAAGATGGCTCCTTTATTTTTTTCAGTGATGTGGATGATCACAAGCCTCTGAAAAAAGGAAGCAGGTCACCCTCAGACAGGACTGTGAAAAAGGAAGACAGTGATGATAGTTTAGTTGATTATGGAGAAGGAGTCAATGGCCAGTTCAATGAGGATGGCTCCTTTATCGGACAATACAGTGGTAAAAAAGAGAAAGAACCTGCAGAAGGAAATGAAAGTTCTGAAGCTCCTTCCCCAGTTAATGCAATGAATTCATTTGTCTAATTAAAAAAAGTGTTCCATATCAACATCTACATCATACATTTGTTCCCCAAATTACAGATAAGAAAAGAGACAAATATTCTAAACATTGAAGTGGTTTTTTTTGATAATTTCATATAGAGAAATTGTTAGAATTTATAACAAAAGTAAATCTAAATTAGAATGCAAAACTTGAAGCATTTTACACAGCATTTGTTTATAAAGATGTTAAGATGAGGAACATCAGTTAATACTGCAAATGCAGTATAATGCATGCAAAGTCTTGCATATATCTCTAAAAATCAATTATGCCAGTGAAAATTATTTTTCATAATTTGTTAAACAGCCTTCAATTAAATCCCTCAAGTCCATTCCCATTGTCAGAGTGTTATAGTAGTATTATATAGAATTTCACTGTCTTTGTGGACATTGTTGTGAAATTAGTGACAATGTCTAGCTTAATGTCATTATGTCTCTTTTGCAAGGCAGGAACAGGATATCCAGTATATGATTGAAAATGACTAAGTATGACACATTTCTTGATGCTAACTGAGATTCTGATACCTGCTTTTTGCTTCTCTTATTTTATAGACTTTTTAATTACAAAGTATTACTGCACCACAGTGTTCTATTTTTTTAAAATATACTACACATTGAGTTTTATGTTTTCTTTTGTTTTAATTCATTTTGAAGTTGTACACTTATGGATGTAAAATTTTCAAATTATAAAAAGTCCAAAAATATACATGGCAAAATATATTCAGTACCTTCAAATAATGTACATTTCATTATGTACTATAACTGGCATTATCCACCAGGAAGTTTTCTGAACATGGTAAATATGGTAACATTTAAGCAAACACCAAACAAATGCAGAAAGAGTACTAGCAGGAATATTCCCAATGTATTTTGTCCAACTCGGTTGGCTTAAAAGTGTGTGATTAATTGCCAAAGTAATTCAATCACTTTCAAATACCCAGATATGTTGGTTTGATTAGGAATAGTTTGTATTTGTATTAAAACTCATTGAGATATCTTTATTTATGAATATGAACTATAAAATACAATTTGCATTTTCATAATCTTACGTGATTTATACAAAAATGCTGCATTTGTATATTTTGCTAATATAGGTACAGCTATTCTCAAAATAATATGCTAATACAGCATCCTTACAATAGCACATTTATCTCTCAGTCAGAAAACCAGAATACAGCTTTTAGCAGAGTACTTGGCATGAAACAGGGTATAGAATGCTACAAAGCAGTTAACTCATTTAATAAATGCTAAGTTTAATTTTATTTAAATGGCCCCATCTATTAATTGCAAATTCCCTCTCATAAACACACACACACACACACAGATTATTATTGAAAAAGTTTACCTTCAAATATAAAATGTTATATAACAACCTATGGTTGAAGGAATGCTCAGTTTCATTTGCCAATAAATTGGTTTTTCATAACTTGCATCAAGTTTAATTTTAAGTAAGCTTTTATATGTAGATATTTTGTTGAATTTGTACATACACTTAAAGTGTAGATGCTATATGCTACTAGGTGTTATAAATAAAAATGTTTTGGTTGTATTGTGTAACCAATAAGGTGCTTGGTATTTTAAGCATCTATTAAAATGCATATAAATTTGGGACAATAAAAATTTACTATACCTGTTGCCAGGGCTTTTTTTTTTTTGTCATAGAATGCCCAGAACGGAGTTCCGGCACCTTTTTTGGATGGAACCTTGTAGGGTAGGCAAGGCGGGTTGTATGACGTGTGAATTCCAGCACCTTTTTTTTTTTTTTTTTACAAAAAAAGCACAGCCTGTTGCAGATTTCTGGGTCATGTGCTAAGATTTATTACAGTGTGATGCTTCTGTTTTATCACAAGAATGATTAATGCCTTATTTAAAAATACAGAAATTGTACAGCATTAGTATGCATCTAATATTTGAGATCACAATATATTTGCAACTTTTATACAATGTCCATTTGCAATGTCCATCTCATTAGCAGTCTAAAAATGAAATAACTATAGAGCACTAATTGAAAAAGCACAAAAGAGAACTTTTCTACAGTATTGGAAACCAGTATAAGCTTACAATTAAATGGAGATGTGAACATTATCCATGCATGTGAAGATACACAGTTAAGGTAAGGACCATGCTATCAAAATCTTACCTATGGCCACATTCCCAAAACCAAGAATGCACTCAATGACGCCCAGAGAGATGAAAGACTTAAGGGAGTAAATTGATAAGAACCTGGCCCAGGGCTTCATCCAACCAGCAAAATCTTGTGTATTGTTCAAGGAAAAGAAAGATGGGTTGCTGAGATTATGCGAAGATTTTAAAAGATTGAACGCTGTCAGCCTAGAGAACATTTACCCCCTCCCCTTAATGAAGGACATGTTAGCCCATCTGGCAAAGGGGAAAGTTTTTACAAAGTTGGATTTAAGGGATGCTTATTACTAAATCCGGATTAAGAAAGGAGACGAATGGAAAACTGCCTTCAATTACCACCTGGGAAGCTTCCAATTTAAAGTGATGCCTTTTGGACTACAAGGAGCTCCTGCTGTATTTATGCAGTTAATCAACCAGGTGCTCCATGATCATCTGTATTGGGTTTTGGTTTATCTTGATGACATTCTCATTTACACTGAGACTATAGAAGAGCACATTAAATTGGTCTGTGAAGTGCTGAAGAAACTGCTGAAGGCTAAACTGTATGCAAAGCTTTCTAAATGTGAGTTTCACCAGACATGCCTTGACTATCTAGAGTACCAAATTTCAAATGGGATAGAAATGGATCCTGCAAAAGTGAAAGCGGTATTGGAATGGCAACCCCCTTGCACCCGTAAACAACTTCAAAGCATTCTGGGGTTTGCTAACTTTTACCGTCAATTTATCCTCTCTTTGGCAAAGATAGCCTTGCCAATAACCAACTTATTGAAAACGGGGAGAGGGGAGGAGAAACCCTGACCTTGTCAGCCATTGCCATGATCCCTAGAATGTCAAGCGGCATTCGAGAACTAAAAAGACTTTGCAACTGAAACTGTTCTCAAGCACCCTGATCCTGAAAAGCAATTCATCATTCAAACTGATATAAGTGATGTGGCTGTTCTCTTACAAAAAAAAATACTGGGTGGAGTTACAACCCTGTGCTTACACTTCCCAGAAACTAACCAACAAGGAGAGGAGGTGGGCCGTTTGGGAGAAGGCGGCCTTTGCAGTGCGATGGGCATTACTAACCTGGCATCATTTTTTGGAAGGGGGGGAAATACCTTTTGAAGTATGGACTGATCATAAAAATTTGGAAGCTCTGAACCCGCCCTCCTGCAAATTATCCCCCAAACAGGTCCAGTGGGCTCAATACTTCAACCGTTTTAATTTCACCTTAAAGTATGTCCCAGGGGGTAAGAATTTTTTGGCTGACACCTTGTCTAGAACGCCCCAGTTAAAAAGTCACTGTGAGAAAGTAATCAACTCCATTATTCCCCTGCCACAGTCTGCTTCTCAAATAACAACTAGATCACAAACACAAGGATCACCTGATGGTCCTGATGATCGCTTACTGAAAGAAGGAACAATTAGAGACTGACACCTGGTTCAAAGACAATAAATCTATTAGAACCCTTAGGGGAGGACTAGCCTGGAAAGGCTCTAAGTTATACCTCCCAGATGGCCTTAGACTCCAAGCCCTTCAGCGGAGTCATGGTGCAAAGCAGGCAGGTCATTTTGGGTTCCTGAAAATGTTGCATTTAGTGTGGAGGCAATTCTGATGGCCAGGGATGAAAAGAGACGTCGAGAGTTATGTAAGGAGCTGTGTTACCTGTGCTGCAATAAAAAGATGTCCTGGGAAGCCTCCCAGTGTTGCTGCAACAAGTGGCTGAGCCTTGGGAAGAGATAGCCATGGAGTTTATAGTAGAGGTGTCTGAGAGCAAGGGAAACACTGTAATATGGACTGTAAGTGATCTATTTTCCAAACAAGCATATTTCATCACTTGCTCAGGACTTCCCGCTTCCCAGAAGCTAACCAAGATGTTTTTTTTTAATTGAAAACTTTATAAAATTTTACAATATAAATCCCCCCCTTCCCCAAACCCACCCTTCCCCTCCCCCTCCCTCCCCCCTCACTTCCCAGAGCCAATCACAGGGTTAACAATAAAATAATCATAATCTAACTAACATTAATCAACTATTAAAATAACATATCTATAACCTCCTTTAACTCTCTTTTAAACAAATATACAGTTATTAACAACAATAATAATAACATCACTTTAATAATTAAAATAGTACTAAGTAAACTATTCTAACCTTTATACAATAATAATATTCTAAAATTCACTCAAAAACCAAATGATATTTTTTGGTCCCATATTTACGCTTGATATAATCTATCCATCTTCTCCAAACCAAAATATATCTTTCTTGTGAATAGTCCTTCACATAAGCGGAAATCTTGGCCATTTCTGCTAAATTCGAGACTTTAAGTGGCCATTCTTCTATAGTGGGCAAACGTTCCGTTTTCCAGTATTGAGCTACTAGTAGTCTTGCAGCAGTTATAAAATTCAACATCAGTTCCATTTCTTTTACATCCAAGTCCTCCATAATGCCCAACAAAAATATCTGTGGCTTAAACTTTATCTTTTTCTTAAAAATATTTTGAATATTCCACCATATCTTAATCCAAAATGCTTTAACTTCCCTACATGTCCACCAAATATGAAAATAAGTTGCATCTAAATTTCCACATCTCCAACACTTAGGTTGTAAATTGGGATACATACAAGACAATTTTTGAGGATCCAGATGCCACCTATAAAACATTTTATAAAAATTTTCCCTTACATTTTGAGCTTGAGTAAATTTTACATTTCTAACCCAAATTATCTCCCATGTGTCCAATAAAATTGGTTCTTGTATATTTTGTGCCCATTTTATCATACAATCCTTAACCAGTTCTGTTTCTGAATCCAATTCAATCAATGCATTATAAATTCTTTTAAGATGAGCTTGAGATTGATCTTTAATCTGTTTCATCAAATTTGCAACCTGTAAAGTAATACCAACTTTCTGATCCATATGCCACCTCATTAACAATTGATTATAATAAAACCAAGAATATTCAATATTTTCTTGTTTCAAATTTACTGAAGATTTAAGTTGCCAATCTTGTCCTACTGGACGAAGCAATTCCTTATAAGAAACTTTATCCAAATTAACCCCCCTAGATATCCCCTCTAGTACCTGTCCTGGAGTTGCCCAGATAGGAATTTTATAATTTAATTTATAATAATATTTCTTCCAAACTCTCAATAGACTCTCAATATCTCCTTAAGATATGGACCTTAAAATTTGTATCTACCTTTTTTATCATAAATTAAATATGCCTGCCAGCCAAATAGCAGATCCCATCCTTCAAGAGAAAGTATATTCTTATTTGTTAAATTTAACCAATCACTAATCCATGTCAAAGCCACCGCATCATAATACAATTTTAAATTAGGGGCTTTAAGTCCTCCTCGTTCCCTTATATCTTGCATAATCTTAAACTTAACTCTTGGCTTCTTGCCCGCCCAGATAAACTTATTAATACCCTTCTGCCAATCCTCCAATTAGCATCTTTTTTTAAAATAGGGATCATTTGAAACAAGAAAAGAAACTTTGGGAGAATATTCATTTTTACTGCTGAAATTCTCCCCAACAAAGATAATTGCAATTTTTTCCAATCGTTTAAATCTTTTTGCACCTTAACCCATAATGATTCATAATTATTCTTATACAGTTTAACATTAGAAGCTGTAATGTAAACTCCCAAATATTTTACCTTTTTAACCATTTCAAAACCTGCAAGCGTAACTAACGTATCTTTATCATTCATAGACATATTTTTCGGTAATATTTTAGTCTTATTACAATTAACCTTAAAACCAGAAACTTTCCCGTATTGTGCAATAATTTCAACCAAGTCAGTTACCTAGTCTATTGGCTGAGTTAATATTAACACTAAGTCATCTGCAAAAGCTCTTAATCTATAATCAACCTTGTTAACCTTAATTCCTTTTATTATAGAAGACTCACGAATTTTAATTAACAAAATCTCCATTGTTAACACAAATAACAATGGAGATAATGGACACCCTTGTCTAGTTCCTTTTTCAATTTTAAATGCTTCTGTTGCCCCCCCTCCATTAACTATAATCTGTGCTGATTGCTGCTGATAAATAGCCTTAAGGGCGGACAAATTTTTTTCCCCAAAATTCATTCTGTCTATAACTTGAAACAAAAAAACCCCAATCTAATTGATCAAATGCTTTTTCAGCATCTAGAAATATAAAAGCAGCAGGAATTTGATTATTCTTATCCAAATATTCAATTAAGTTAATAGTTTGTCTTACATTATACTTCATATATCTTCCAGTTATAAATCCAGATTGATCACTATGAATCAATTGACTCAGCACTTGCATTAATCTATTTGCCAGTACTTTTGAAAAAATCTTATAATCTGTATTCAATAAAGATATAGGTCTATAATTCTTAGGTTGAGTCAAGTCCTGACCCTCCTTTGGTATTAGAGATATAAAAGCAGTTCTCCAAGAAGGAGGTACCTCTTCACCCAACAAAATGCTATTAAACAATTCCCTTAACGGTTCTATCATTTCCTCAG